TAAAGTAAAACTCAACAGTACCCACACTCCTGGCCGTGTGGGGAGAACCCAGGCTTAAATCACATCAGTCCCAGCATAAGCAGCGTGAAAGGAGAGTTGTTTGGTTAAGACTTGGATGTGCTTTCAGATCAATTCCCACACACAGTTACACCTACCACAAGCAAAGCTTATCTGCCCTAGCAAAGACTGTTCTAGTACTGATAACATCTCACATTTCTTTTTCCCCACTGTGAATCTTCTGCCCACATCCTGAAGAGAAACAAATTCAATTAAAATCTGACAAGTTTTCACTGTTGATTTCCCTTCCCGCATCCCCAGACCACTCCCAGCAATTGACTACCCCGACATTTAGCCTTTGATTTTAATGCAGATTTGCAGAAATATTTTTATTGACTCTGGGTTTTAATACTTGCACAGTCATTCTGTAAAGATATGGGATTTTTAAAAAAATGCCTACCCTCTCTGAATGCAGTTTTAATCCGCTCAAAATCTATTTTTCTTCTGATTATATTATAACCCTTTAACTTTTACCTTCTGCTCTCTGTGTTGTTGGGGTTTTTCATAGAAGCCAGATGACATCCTACTTTTTCACTCTGTTTTCCCTATCCTTTGACATTCTATCTCCCTTCTTTTCTCCCCACAAGCAAATACAGCAAGACATAAGAGTGGCTTTGGACACTGTTTTATGTTGTATGGAATTGTTTCCAACCTCATTCTTGTCATTAAAGATGAGCTGTTTTTTTGAACTTCATGATTTTCTTCAAAACACTTCACATTTGCAAGTCATCTTCTTAGCTTATCACCTTTCTAAATCCAAGTCTCCTGTGTGGAAAGTATTCAAACACTGCCAAACTTCAAAGCATGCAAACAGCCACATTACATGTGTGATTAGTCCCACTGAAATTAAAGTTAAGCACATGCAATTATTTGGTTTCATTGATTAAAAAGATGTAAAGTCAAACATGTTAGTTTTCAAATTCTCCAGTTTTTTGTTATTTTTAACTTGTTGTGAAGCTATGAGACTAATTTCACATGAAAAGATAGCTTTTTTCTATGTAGATTTAAAAATACACTCCTCAGAGTTATTTTTTTCCAATTCAAATTCTGTCCTCAGATATCTTTGCACAAATCCCATTAACTTCAGTGAATGTCTAAAGGCAGAAATTGAAACCTGTAAAGAACTGGGTCACCGGACAATGGTAAGTCTCAAACAGAGCTTTCTTTTCTGAGTTATAGCAAGAGAAAAATACCTCTTCCCTCAGGCACTATAAGAACATTCCCATTTGTCTGTAAACAATACCAAACACTTGAAATTCGATGGGTTACATTTCATCCTTGCTCACTTAGGATTTTTTTGCTTTACTATAGGTAATCGCTATTTAGTCCTTAATGTAGGATGATCTAGCATCAGCTACAAATACAAGTACACCATCCTGGGCAGCTGCCTCACTGCAGATTTCAGTACTGGTTCACTCCAAGCTTAAAACCGGTAACTATCAACAACTCTTTACAAATGGTCCCCAGGAAAACTGCTTTCACATGCTGGTCATATATACTAGCTCCTGCCTTGCCTCTATTTTTTATTTAATAATAATACTAAATGGTAATAAAATTTATCGCATTTATAGAATACGGCATAATCAGGTATGAGATCTACAGGCAGGAAAATCAGTCCAGGAACAAAGGTTCTTGTTTTTGTTTTTTTTTTACAAACTAATTCTACATTTATTGTGTCGGTAAACATCGGTGAAATAATAGTCTTAGAAAACTTCAGTCACCACAACCGTTCTCAACATCTCAGACCTGTATACTGTTCTCATATAATTGGTTTTATTCCATTATATACACTTGTTACAGCACAAAACCTACAGAGTACTTAAAAAGAGACCAACCTAACCTAATCTGGCCAGTCCAGAGACACAAAGAGACGGGACGAGCCACTATGCAGTATTCAGAAGTTAACTATGAGCTCCCTTTCCATATTCACTTTTCCTAGAAAGTTTAGATTTGCCAGAAACATATTGTCAATTTCTTTCAAAAAAAAAAAAAAAATCCAAGTTACATGCTAAATGACTTATACTTTGTATTTTCAAATATAGTATCACCTTTTACACTTGTTTCTGCTCATAGCTGTGAAGAGAGTCTACTGGAATGAGCACGAAGCTTGGAATTCTAATCCAGACTATGCTACTTGGTGTGTGTGTGACTGCTGGCAAAGTGTTTCACCGAACCTAATGTCTGTACCTCTAACAGCCTTTGTGATTCCCTCAGTTGTCTAGGGGATGCTGGTAACAGTCAAGAATACATGACAATGTCTTAAATATTTCTATTAAAAGATCTGCAGGAAACATGCATTATTTCCATCATAGTTATATATTTTAAATAATGATAAAAAAAAAATCTTTCCATGTTGGTATTTTGTCCCAAGAAAGAGCATAATTACTGTTAATTACTTTAACTTTCATCAAGGTAACTCTAATTCCAGGCTGCTTTTGGCAAAATTCAAGTTCCCATCTCTTATTGAGTATACTTAGAGATATAAATTCAATTTTCTTTCTTTTTATTCTATGAAGCCTGAAGACAGATGTTAACTTTTTTCCAAACCTCAGATGTTCTTTTCATTGTTAAATTTATATCCTCGTACTGAGCGCCAAAACTCTTCCAGTCCCCTGTATTCTAAATTAATCCATCAATCCCCTTTCCGCTGTGTTTTTGCCCTTGGCAAATCACTAGCCCAAGGGAGAACTCAACAGAAAAATTCAAGATTTCACTCAGACCACAGCTGAAAATATCCTTCTTCTGCCTCTGCAAAAGCTTCACTATCTGAGATGCCATCTCTTGTAGATTTTTCTCTCCTTACTACATTTCCAGCTTCATTGCACAGCCACTAATTTTCACAACTGTCCCTGTCCATTCCCCTATCTTCTCCAGCAGCCTTCCTCTGGGTTATATTTGTACTGTGTCGCTATTCACTGTAATCAATTTCAAATAAAAATGTTCTCACATTAAGTCCTTGGACCAGTCCTTGATATTCTAGCTATTATCTTCTCACCCCTTCTCAAGGCCTACACTAATATTTTAAGGCCACACAGGAGATTTAACTAAACTCATTCATTGCTTTGAAACATCTTGATTCTAGACTTGAAAGCAGTAGTTGAGATTCCTCAGATTTGTTTCTCCTTTCAATCCTTAGATATCGTAAGATAAAAGTTTGATACCAGAGTTATGTCTGACTGTTCAGAACTAGGGCAACACTCTAGACACAGGCTTGCAAAGAAGTATACAAAATATAAGTTTAATACAAACAAGCTGGACCTCTCACTGCATGTAAAGTTATTAATGCACATGTGTTTTCTACTTCCACCCTAATGCTGCAAATCACTCTTCTGAATGAACGTTACTGTTTCACTTCAGCACTGCAAATCTCCTGATCCTACTAACTTTTGCCAAAGTTCCCTCATAGGCTGCTTCAGCACAGCATGTTGTGTACTGATTATTTTGGCATAGAGCTCCCTAGTCAACTGTCTTTCATCATTACAGCCTATAGAAAATTAGCTTTGAAAAGTGTAAACAGTGATATTAATACGATTACCATCGACTTGTATGTTGAAAGCTGCGTTTGAAAAGGCACTTAAACCTAGAAAACTTAGGAGAAATTTTGAAGCACTTATGTGGAGATATAGGCCATTTGAATGTTGTAGCACAACCTTAAGGGTTCTATGAAACGCGCATCCAAAGAATAAAAAACCCACCAGACTCAACCCTCCCTCCTCGTACCTAAAGGTTATAGTACGCTAGGACTTCTCTGAAGAGTTTGAACTGCAGTACTTGGAGCTCTCTCTTCAATTTCACAGCAGTGCCCATCTGCTCTAGAACAGTCAGATGTCGGGGATTAGGAAGAATTATCACAGGGCAGCTGAAAGCTAACTCGAACCCATCTTTCTCGATTTCTAGAAAAGAAAGATGGAGATCATTGAACACCACATTCCTCACGCAGCCCGACCTGCCCAAACGCACCACGAGGCTGCCTGGATTTTAATGTCCTCAGACAACCACCGAGGATTCCATGCGGAGAACAACTACTCACAGGGAAACACTGCTTCTCAGCTCAATTCGGGAAACCTCTCTTTCTGCACTGCTTCGGATTTTGCGGTGGGATATAAAAATCCATCGAGGACGGGGCCCTGCCTCACACCTCACCCCCGCCCTCACGCCCTCCCCTCAGCCTTGCCCCATCCCTCCCTGTCCCCTCAGCCGGCGGGGACGGCTCTGCCTGAGGTGAGTATTCACACTCACGGCCCTGGGCCGCTGCAAACGGGGTCGGGTGACGGTGAAACCACAGGTCCCAGGCTCCGCCGAGATGCCCCGGTGTTTGGGGCGGTGGCTCCTCCCCGCCCGGAGCAGAGACGGGGCAGGGACGAGCCTCCCCCCCGCCCCAAACACCCACACACACACACACCTGCCTCCCGCCGCGCCGCCGGGCCCGGCCGCCCCTCAGCCCGGGATGGGGAGGGCCCTACCGCGCCGCTTACGCACTCTGCGCCCGACACGCTAGCACCTACGGCACTTGCGCAACGGGAGCCCTCTCAGGTGCAGCGCCCGCGTTGACGACATTACGGAGAATTCGTAAGAAACACTAACCTCTTTGAGGGGTTTTGCGCAAATGACGTTCCTAGGTGCGGGCTTGACCGCCCCTAGCGCGCGTGGCTGCAGGAGCACTCAGCCGCGGGAGGGGGTGGGGGGGGGGGGGTGGATTGCGCAGCGTACGCAAGGAGTAGCGGCCCCCAGGTAGGGAAACCGGACGGGCCGAGCCGAGCAGCTTTACGTCAATTCCGTAAGGCCGCGCTGGCCTGCCGCGAGGAGGGAGGAAACGGCGGGTTCCGCGCCGCTACGGAACTGGCGCGGCGGCCCGGCATCGCCCCCCTCCTCCCCTCTACGCAGTTGGCGTAAGGCTCCCTCTCAGGTGCAGGGAGGGGGCGGGCTCACGTTGCCCGGCAGCCCCAGCCTATGGGGGCGCCGGGCGCTGTCACGTGCCGGAGCCCCGCTCGCCGCTGCGGAGCCGGAGGAGCCGGACGGGGCCAGCGAGCCGGGACGGGGCCGCGGGGCTGCGCCGGGGCCGGCGGCCAGCGGGGTGAGGCCGGGCGAGCGGCGGGGCGAGGCGGCGGGGAGGGGTCGGGGCGGCGGAACAGCCTTCCCTGAGGGGAAGGCGGGCGCCGGGCGCCGCTCCTCCCACTGCACCGGGCACTGCGGGCAGGAGGCAAGGGCAGGACACGGCGCGGGGGGCGGCGCGGGGGGATGGGAGGCGGTGCGTGAGGGGAGCGGGGTGGGGGGCGTTGCTGCGCGCGCGGAGGGGCGCGGCGGCCGTTGAGAGCGGAGGGGGGGGGGGGGGGTTTGTCTCCGCGCCCTGAGGGGCCGCCGGCCCGCGGGCGGGGGCGGAGATGAGGGGCCGGGCGCCGCGGTGCGCGCAGGCGGCCGCCCTTCCGCCCGGCGGAGCGGCGCGTACCTGTCCGCGGGCGCGCAGGTGCCGGCGGGCGGGGGAGCAGACCGAGCTGCGGCCGTGAGGAGGCGGCGGGGGGGGGGGGGCGGGATGTGAGGGGATTGGGGGGGGCGGGGGAGCGATTTGCGCGGTGGTCCCGTCCCTGCGCGCCCGCCGTGGGCCGGCCAGGTGCCGGGAGCGGGGAGGGCAGCGCCGGGGCTGCCGCCATGGCTCGTCCTCAAAAGTTTGCTCCAGGCCGGCGGCTCCGCGCATCGCCCGGCCGCTCCCCGGCGCGGAGGGGGCAGCGCTCTGCCGCCCGCCCGGGGCTCGGCAGCGTCCTGCGGTGGAGGGAAAGATCATCGGTGGTTTGGTTCTTCTTTCTTTCCTCTTTCGTTCTAGGTTTGCTTTGCACTGGGTTTTTGTGAATCGTTAACCCGCTAATTTTTCGGGGAGTGAGGGTTTAAAAGGGGTGACTGGGGAGTGATACTCGGGCTGAGTGAAGCAAAACTTGAGTTTTGAACCAAAACAGAAATGTGTATTGTCTAGCTAAATATCTTATTATTTATTTACATGGCTCTGAAAATGGTGCCGTGTGATTTACAGAAAGTCAGAAGAAAATGTCCTGCTCCAGAGAGCATGCATTCTAAATAGCTGTACAAAAAAATATATAAAATGGGGGATCCTGGATATGTCCAAATTATTTTTTTCTTTAGCTGTGTATTATGGTTTGTTACATTTTTTAAAAAGTTTTCTCAGGCTTTGTCCTGAAAACTTAGAAATTCTAAGTATGGTTAAAGTAAAGAAAGGCTTAAGTGGGCATTGTTGTCAGGAATATAAGGTATTTCAAATCTCCAGTTCCAAAAATGTTTGCACAACTTTAACTTAAATTAAAATAGCTAGACTATTTAGCTTAATTTAAAATAGCTGTGTGTTCTAGTGAGCATTTGAAACCTGGCCTTCTAGGGTAAAGACAGAACATTTAAATAATTTCCTTCATTTGTGCAGAACAGTTTAACATCTTTGGAAAGAATGGAGATTGAAGGACTGTTTGCAAAACTTGGTCTTATTTTATTTTTAAAGAGATGGTAAGCATTTTTGAGAGACCCAAAGGTAGCAGCTGTGGAGGCAGAGAGTGCCTAATGGTTGCTGGCAGGAAGGAAGGAGGATGGAGCGATGCTGTCTGTGCTTGCAGGGGAGGCCTTAAAAACAAAACTTCGGGAGCAGGGAGGAAGGCCCGACAGTGCCTCTGTAGAGGCTGTATTGCTGTATTCCAATATTTGCACAAGGTCGTTGCTTGTAGTCTCTGAAAAGCTAAAGTATTTTCCAGGAACTTAAATAGTCTACCTCTTAGAAGGGTGATCAAAAAATTTGTAAAAGCTGGGTTGTAGTTATTTCCTGCCAGTGTAGAGAGGAGGAAGAAATCCATGTTGGCAGACTGTGGCTGGCTGTAGCTTCTACTAAATTCCTGGTAATTTTTAGGAAGTTGGACTTGCCTCTGGAAGTTCTTGGCATGTGTCATTTCCTTCTCGCTGGAACTTTCCAATCATTTTCCTCTCCTTCATGTTGGGGTAGAACAGAGGGAAAGATGGGGAAAAGAGTTGGTAAGGGTTGTTCAGAGTAAGGTTTTAATAATTTCAGTTTTTGGTTTCTTAGAATCTTGTCATTGATGGTGCAAGTCTCATGCTGCTTTGGTGTTTCTAGTAGAATCTTATTTCTTGCTAATTTTCTTATTGCTGTTTTTATAAAGGAGTTTTATTTGCATAGGCTGTTCATCCAAACTAATCCGTATTATTGAACTATTGACAATGTTGTCATCTCTCCACAAAGAAGATGCTGATGAAGTGCCAGTTCTTGCTCCAAGTGGTTGACAGGCTGACTGCAAGGTAGAAATCCAGGACTTAATTTCTCGGGGAACTGGAGAAAGATTCTGTCTAGAAATACATGCGTGTTGGGGGCTGGGGGGAGGCCCAGGTGATAACTGGTATGAATGTTGTTGAAGAAGGGATCGAATCCAGCTTCGTGGTTTGTCCTGGGAGAAGGAGTTTCAGGTAGAATTGGTTTCATACCAAAGACTTGGAAGCAAATTAGAAGAAAGAGTAAGCAAATCAGAAGATATAACAGAAGATGGCAAAAGGCATGCCATGCCTAAACGCTAGAGAATAAGTTTAAACTGGTGGATATGCAGATTTCAGTGACCCTTGTTTCTGACTTGTAAGCAGGTTTTTTTGGTGGATGTTCATTCAGTAACATGATGCTTAAGATTGCAGAGCTCTCTTCTTTTCAAGCCCCTTGGTTAATGTTCCTCAAAGGCCTGTGGGTGGACTGAGTTTTGGGTGTTGCTTTTTTTTTTGAACTGTGAAATCCTGTTAGGAAATTAAAAAAAAAAAAAAAAAAGTAGTCTAAGAAGCTGCTTCATGTTGTGAAAAACCTTACTGTAGAATCATAAAAGCTGCGCTTTTTCCACATTGCTTTGGAAGCAGCTGAACTTTGTAACTTGGCATGTAAATAGAGCTCTTTGAAGAGCACGTCCATGGCTGGAAAGAGTGGAGAAGGAAGTGCCCTGGCTGGTTAACAAGCTTTTGAGTGTGTAAAAAGCCACTGTGAGCTTGTTGAAGTATCTGTTAAAACATAGAAGAGGAGTTTGCAGAGTCTTGTCCTTGGCTGTGGTGGTGAACGTACACCTAGAAGTGGCCAGCATGCTGAAGTGTAAATATGAAAGAGTAAAATGTGGCAGTTTGTGTGTTTCTGTAGAGTGGGCTGGGTGAGGGAGAGTACTCAGGGCAGATGAGAGGAAGGTACTCGGGAATCTGTTGGTGATCTGAGGGAGATGCTAGGCGAGTGAGAATGCAGAGGTTCAGTCTACACCTCACTAGGCTAACTTTCCTTTTTGGTGAGTTAGGATTTATGGTAGGTCTAGCCATGCCAACAGAGGACCTCAGCATAGCATTTTGATATCTGTAACTTACTTTGTGTAGAGGTTGGAGGAGAGAGAACTTTTCTGTTCTAACAACATACGTGTGAGGAGCATTTGGCTGATGTAGTGTCCTGGATTTGCTGTAAACTGAGCAATATTGGCAAGTAAAGATTGCTGTACTGCTGTATATGCTGCAGTGATGAAATCAAAGGAAAAATCCTGTTTAAAGCAACATGAGAAACAGTTACAGATTTAAACAGCAGAAAAATGCAAGTCTCGAACATTTCTGTAGAAATCATAGTTTGAGCATTTGTTGGTCATGTAGTGCAGTTTGACAAATAGAAACTTTGTGCTCCATATTTAAGGAAACAGAAGTCTAAGCTGACCTACCTGAAAACATTTGCTTATGTTTTTTTTTTAAAAGCAATAATCAATCCAAGCTACAAGACTAGAGACAATATTTTTGCAGTTGTACTTCTGCATTTCTTGGCACTTGTATAGTTTTTCCTTCTTATGTGCAAGACTTTCACTGAGCAGTGATGACAGAAAACACAGATAGTGGCACATACACTGTGTCAACTCACAGAGGGCTAGTGTTTCTATTTAACATTTTTGAAAACCTTAATTCATGTCTCTAAGAAAAAGCATGCATAGGAACTCTTACAAAGTACATGAGCGAGTTAACATAAACTTCTTGCACTTTGGATATTTGGACTGTATTTTGTAGCTAAATTACCTAATGTTTCTGGTCCTGTCACTTGAAACATCATGGAATGGAAGAGGACTGAGAAAATTCTTGGGCCTCGTTCCATGTTGGTCTGGTGCCTTGTAGTCACATTTGTGATTTGCAATGCACATACTGACCTTCCTGTTAATTTTCTATGCGGTATTGGAATGTAGACAAGGTGCTGCTTATAGGAGAAGCATAAGATAAAATGCAGGCTATGTCATTTGTTCTGCTGTTACTGACAGGTATGGAAAGCATGGTGCTGGGCTGCTCTGTCCCTCCTTCTCTGCTGACTAAACCCAAGAACTCCGAGACTAATCCAATGTGTGGATTTTCCCTGCAGCTGAGCAGGGCTGCTGTATTGCGGGGGCACCTGCACATCTGCTGATTGGCTTCTCGAGTAATAAAGGTCATGGATTATTAAAAACCATGCCCTTGTTGGTGTACTTCATTGATTTTTCTATAACTATGCAAAACTTTATAACTCTTTTATAGTAAAATATTTTCATAACATGCTGGTAAATTAAAGGTGTAAATGGATGTGGAAGAGGAATAATCTTGTAAAATCCAATTGCTAACTCATTTTAGGGGATCTCTTGGACTCTGGAAACTTAAGTGATCCTGCCACATGGGTTGATTTAAATTAGTTCTCTTATGTTGTGGTTTTGCATACTATTTAAGAGCCTCAAGATGCTACTTGTGATTGACATAACAAAATGTAAATTATATGCTGTTTTACTAGGCTCTAATTTATCTGTCATAAGGTTTGTGTACCAATAGTACTAAGCTCTTCTTACAGTAATATTTTTCTTTCATGTAATGTCTCCATAGGGGAATTAAATTACTCTTAATTGTATGCTTAAAAATGAAGTAAAATTGGGGTGTGTCTGGCTATCACAGTAAATTAAATTTTGCTGCTTCTTATTCTTCTTGTGCATTTACTTTGACTTTATTGAAAAATTAGATGTTTGAATATCTGTTTGGAAAGAACACTCTTAACTAGTGAGTAATCAT